ATAGCCATTTCTCCTCTCCTGCCATTGGCTGGGTCTCAGCCTGAACTATTGTTAGTAGCCAATCCCAGCGGAGGAGGCGTGGCTTTTCCGAAAACGGGTGGAAATAAAAAAACAAACGCCACGGGACTTTAAACCTTTTCCCCCCAAATCTGGTCTTAGTTTGTCAGAGAGGGAAAAAAGAAAGAAGAACATGGGCTGAGAAAAGCTGCGGACTGGTTATTCCCAATGACGTGGATTCATTTCAACATTTCAAAATCAATATATTTAGCAATAAAAGCTCCAGAACCCAAAGGAATGAATGTCATGTGCTGTAATTACTGAACAGCGCGCGCTCAAGTTCAGGCTCTTTATTGTCCTTCGCTGGAATTCAGGCAGGCAGCTCAGAACTCAGGAGACCAGACTAAACAGACAGTAATAAGTATGGAGAAACATAAAGGGCCCTATCACCCAAAAAAACAAATTTCCTCACTTCTTTGATGCAGCGTGTAAACACACAGCCCATATATGGAAGCTGCAAAAACATTCAATTTAGGATGCATACGTTTTGTGACGTCATAAGAACAAACATACAGAGCCCTGCTGGTGACATCTCGTATAAATAAAAATACCTAATAATAAATAATTAATTAACTAGTTAGTTAATTAATTAATTGATTAATTACGAGATAATTAATTAAATTATGGCCACAACTTAGTAAGGCATTGGAACGAGATCCTCATGCATAGCCATGACTTAGTAAGGCATGGAAACGGGATAATTAACTCGTGGCCACGACTTAGTAAGGCATGGGAACGGGATAACTAAGTCGTGGCCACGACTTAGTAAGGCATGGGAACGGGATAATTAAGTCATGGCCACGACTTAGTAAGGCATGGGAACGAGATTATTAAGTCATCGCCACGACTTAGTAAGGCATGGGAATGAGATAATATTAGGTCATGACCATGACTTAGTAAGGTGTGGGAACAAGATAATTAATGTCATGGCCACAACTTAGTAAGCCATGGGAATGAGATAATTAAGTCGTGGCCACAACTTAGTAATTCATGGGAACGAGATGATTAAGCCATGGCCATGACTTAGTAAGCCATAGGAATGAGATATTTAAGTAAGGCTTAATAATGTCATGGCCACAACTTAGTAAGCCATGGGAATGAGATAATTAAGTCATGGCCACGACTTAGTAATTCATGGGAACGAGATGATTAAGTCATGGCCACAACTTAGTAAGGCACAGAAATGAGCTCATGCATGTGGTCAAGGCGTAATTATCTCATTCCCATGTTCTACTAAGTGGTGGCCACGCATTATTTTTATTTATACAGGATGTCACCAGCAGGGCCCCGAACAAATACATTTACTAGTGTACACTCTTTAAAAAGATGGTGCTTGAAGGGTTCTTTAGTAAAGAAATAGAACCATGTTCAAATCTATATAGAACCATGAACACTCAAAGTATCTTTTGCATGACTAAAGCGTTCATTGCATCATGTGATGGTTCTCAGATTATTGGAAAATGTACTGTAGATGGTGCTATAGAGAACCTTTTTGAAAATGGTTCCATATAGCACCAAAAAGGGTAATCAAGACTATTAGACTGATCAGCTGCACACAGATTGAGGGAAGTGTGTGATGACTTAGACATGCAGTTAGCGCAGTGCTAATCAGTGGGGTGAAAACCTGTTAGCTACATTAGCCTCTTAGCTCCAGTGCTAAAACCAAACAAGCTAAACTTCAGACACTGAACATGTCTCGGCTGATCGGCTACGTTCGGAGTCAGCGGTGGGGGGTGTTGGGGGGATTAGGTGTTTTGGCTGAACTTATGCTTTAAAGGTCTGTGCGTGATTCGGGTGTCAGAGGGATTATGAGTGTGTGAAGGAGAATCTGTCAGACAGGCACCGACAGGCACTCTGACGTCTAACAATCTCTCCCCCTATTTTTCTTTTCCTTTCCCTCCCTTCTTCTCTCCTTCCTTCCCCACCTTGCTTCTCTCTGCCTCCTCCCTCCAACACCCCTCTATTCTCTCTTTCTCCCTCTTTTACTCCCCTCCTTTCTCCCTTTCCTCTTTCTCCTTTCTCTCTCCTTGTGTGTGCAGGTGTTCAGGTAGGACCCCCTCATTTCTCCCAACTTGAAAAGACTTACCTGCTGCACTTGTTTGTGTGTGTAAGTGGCCTTTATGGCCCAGAGCAGACAGACTGATGGACTAACAGACTGGTGGACTGAGTTACAGACTGACAATCTGATGGACTGACAAGTTACAGACTGACAGTCTGATGGACTGACGAGTTACAGACTGACAATCTGATGGACTGACGAGCTACAGACTGACAGTCTGATGGACTGACGAGTTACCGACTGATGGTGTGATGGACTGATTGACTGACGAGATACAGACTGAAAGTCTGATGGACTGACGAGTTACGGACTGACGGTCTGATGGACTGAAGAGTTACAGACTGGCGGACTGATGCACTGATGAGTTACAGACTGATGGTCTGATGACTGATTGACTGACGGGATACAGATTGAAGATCTGATGGACTGACAAGTTACAGACTGACTGTCTGATGGACTGATGAGTTACAGACTGGCAGTCTGATGACTGATTGACTGACGAGTTACAGACTGAAAGTCTGATGGTCTGACGAGTTACAGACTCACAGTCTGATGGACTGACAAGTTACAGACTGATGGTCTGATGGACAGACTGTTTATAGACTGACAGTCTGATGGACTGACAAGTTACAGACTGATGTCTCTGATGGACAGACTATTTACAGACTGACAGTCTGATGGACAAATGAGTTACAGACTGATGGTCTGATGGACTGATGAGTTACAGACTGACAGTCTGATGTGTTGCAGAGTTACAGACAGAGGGTCTGATGGATTGATGAGTTACAGACTGACAGTCTGATGTGTTCCAGAGTTACAGACAGAGGGTCTGATGGACCGACGAGTTACAGACTGACAGTCTGACGGACAAATGAGCTACAGACTGACAATCTGATGGACTGATGAGTTACAGACTGACAGTCTGATGTGTTGCAGAGTTACAGACAGAGGGTCTGATGGATTGATGAGTTACAGACTGACAGTCTGATGGACCAACAAGTTACAGACTGACAGTCTGATGGACCGACGAGTTACAGACTGGCGGTCTGATGGACTGACGAGTTACAGACTGATGGTCTGATGGACTGACAAGTTACAGACTGATGGTCTGGTGGACTGATGAGTTACAGACTGGCGGTCTGATGGACCGACGAGTTACAGACTGATGGTCTGAGGGACCGAATATTTACAGACCGACGGTCTGATGGAACGATAAGTTACAGACTAACGGTTTGATGGTCTGACGGACCCTCTGAAGGTGTTAGCGTTTACTGCCTAAATTCAGAGCAGCCCTAAGAGAACACACACACACACACACACACACACACACACACACAGAATACAACCATCCTGTGATTTTGAACAGTGTGAGTGTGTGTGTGTGTGTGTGTGTGTGTGTGTGTGTGGACTCACCTGTTAGTAATAAGTTCTGAGACTCGGCCCATAACTGGCATTCTAGAACATTCCCCACATTCTGTTACAGCAGGAGGTATGAACACACACACACACACACACACACACAGATGAGACTGTAGGCAGACATGTAAACACACTCACTCCCACCTCGTCAAGACCACATGATCAGTACTATACACAACACACACACAATTCCATGTTTGATTCTGCAGAGCGGCGGTGTGTGTGTGTGTGTGTGTGTGTGTGTGTGTGTGTGTGTGTGCTGACATGTATGGTCTGCATTAGGGTAATGGAACTCATTACCGACTAATAACCCCCCATAATTACACACTCTCTACAGGGGCATTCCAGCCTAATACCGGAGTTTGCAGTGCCAGTAAAGTCATGATTATAAAACTTTAAATTCAGGTATGTTTAAATAATAAACTGTTAAATATGTGGAGGTATTATTCTTATGTCCAGAAAAACACTAAAATGTTACAGGAGCATCTCCAAACTTTACCAGCTAACAATTAAGTTAAAAAGTCAGTTTTTCTGCTGAAGAGTCCACAAACGAGCACCATACGTCACCCACAGCTGACCAGCCAACACTGAGGACGCCTTCTCTCTAATCACTCGTCCAGACTGGAGGAAAAGGGAGGCTAGTTTTCAAACACAATGATTTGTATTGTTCCTTTTTCATTTTAAACTGTAAATCTCACTCTAGAGATACTGCAGCTCCACTTCCGGATGGGAGGTGAGTTCACTGATGTGTCAGTGAGAACATATTTAAATTTTTCCATTTGGCTGGAGTGTCCCTTTAGTCTGCCCACTCTCTCGTCCACACCACACTGCATAAAAGATGAGATAAGACACAAGACGTAAACACTGAATTTGAAGAAAATGATCTCTGATAAGAGTTCAGAGGTCTGAAAAAAGTAGAAAACGCTGCTTTTTAGATCAGATGACTTGAGATCAGACTCACTACTGCTCAGAAATAAGTGAAATACTCCGAATATTAGTGAATAATACTTAATTCAGTTTATTAATTTCAGCACAGTGAGAAAATGAAGGAGATGAAGAAGAAAAGAATCAGTAATTTAGTGTAAATGTCTGAAAACTATAGTGGATGAAGATTCCGCTGTTACTGAAACACGTTCTGATATTGAAACAGGACTAAACCTGTATTTAATCTAAAACTAGTCCTTAATCTCAGAGCAGACGTCTTACAACAGGACAATGACTTTACTGACCTCACAACCAGCACTGAGAGAGAGAGAGAGAGAGAGAGAGAGAGAGAGAGAGAGAGAGAGAGAGAGAGAGAGAGAGACTGGACCACTGAAGAACAAAAAAAGGTTCTACTGCTTGAACATCACAGAGAAAAATATTTCTGAATAAAATAAAACTGAACCCGATATCAGAGAATGAAAACTACACTCTTAATAAAAATGGTTCTTCAAGGGTTCTTTAGTAAAGAAAATTAATCTATATAGAACCATGAACACTCAAAGAAATATTTGCATGATTAAATGGTTCTTCAGATTGATGGAGAATGTGTTGTATATGGTTCTAAAAGGATTCTGCCATTGTTACGATGTCAAGCTTGTCACAGTAGAAGAACCCTTTTTGGTGCTATAGAGAACCATTTTCAAAAAGGTTATATAAAGAAGCATATATATATATATAAACATGGCTTGACTTCAGAAAGATGGTTCTGTTCTATATCTGTCCATATTTTCTAACCAATCAGCACTCAGTAGCAGTAATGTTAGCGTCCTGCTGCCCAAAACCTGTTTGCTGTAGAAAAAAGAAACATACAGGTGAGATTTCTTTGCTTTTTTATTGAAATTCAAACTTCTACTTTCTAAGCTAGAAGGGTCTCGATTCCCGGCCAGGTGACGAGGGTCCTCTCTGTGTGGAGTTTGTATGTTCTCCCCGTGTCTGGTTTCCTCCAGTTTCCTCCCACAGTACAAAGACATGCAGTCAGGCCGATTGGACATGCTAAACTGCCCCTAGGTGTGAGTGTGTGAATGTGTATGTCTGTCTGTCTGCCCTGCGATGGACTGGCGACCTGTCCAGGGTGTATCCAGCCTTCTGCCCAATGACTGCTGGGATAGGCTCCAGCTCCCCCCATGACCCAGAAGGATAAGTGGCTTAGAAGATGTTTTGGCCATTTAGCTCCATCTGCTCTCTCTCTCCTTCCTTCCTTCAGCTCTCTCTTTCTCTCTCTCTCCATCAGCTCTCTCTCTTCCTCTCTCTCTCTATCAGCTCTCTCTCCTTCCCTCCTTCAGCTCTCTCTCCTTTTCTCCATCAGCTCTCTCTCCTTCCCTCCTTCAGCTCTCTCTCTCTCCTTCCCTCCTTCAGCTCTTTTTCTCACTCTCTCTATCAGCTCTCTCTCTCTCCTTCCCTCCATCAGCTCTTTCTTTCCTTTCCTCCATCAGCGCTCTCCTTCCCTCCATCAGCTCTCTCTCCTTCCCTCCTTTAGCTCTCTCCTTCCCTCCATCAGCACTTTCTTTCCTTCCCTTCATCAGCGCTCTCTCTCCTTCCCTCAGTCAGCTCTCTCTCTCTCCTTCCCTCCATCAGTGATCTCTCTCTCCTTCCCTCCATCAGCTCTCTCTCTCTCCTTCCCTCCATCAGCGTTCTCTCCTTCCCTCCCTCAGCGGTCTCTCTCCTTCCCTCCATCAGCTCTCTCTCTTTCCTGTTCAGTTCCCTTTTTCTCTTCTTCTTCCTGCCAATTCTTTCTCTTCCTCCCTTTTCTTTCCTTCCCCCTTCTCTCTCTCTCTCCCCCACTTTTTCTTCCTCCCTTGTCTTGCGTCTGTTTCTCCTTTTTTCTCCCTCCTCTCTCTCTCTCTCTCTCTCCCTCAGGGCTGCAGGTGTTGAATCTGGCTTCCATTCCAAACCAGCAGGAGTTTAACTCTAACACTCATTAAAACACACACAAACACACACACACACACGCACACACACACACACACACACACACGCGCACACACACACACACACACACGCGCACACACACACACACACACACACACACACACACACACACACAACTGCACTCTCTCACCCCCCACACACACACAACTGCACTCTCTCACCCTCCCCCCACACACACACACACTCACACTTACTCATAGTTGCACCACAGTCTGCTGTTGTGAGCGTGTTGTGATCATCAGTAGTTAAAATACTGAACTGTGCAGGTTTGATTATAAAGAGCTGAATCGGTCCAGTTCAGTTCAGTTCAGCGCTTAAAGCGAATACTAAGAATATAACAAGTTGTGCAAAATGAACAACATATGTTAAAGTCCAAGCTCAACTTTTAAGCCATAAAGAATATCCAGTACAGCTCTCCATCAAACTCGTCATCACTCGCTCCTCCGCTGGGCTCCAAACAGCGTGTGCGGCACACGGCTGTCAACCGATGGCTAAATTAGTCCGAAAGATTGCGACGATGATATGAAACGATGATATGAATGAACAGCCTATTAATTAGAGTTTTTCAAAGCAGCGTGGTCACATTTCTGAGCTGATGCTGGACAGAGCCACAGTGTAAACAAAGAGTTTTACACAGTTATACATTGTATTGATAAAGTAGACCTACTTTAATATAAAATACAGGGCTCTTTATGACTGTATACAGACATATACAGCCATATTCTTGCTATAAATTGTGTCACAATAAAATACGATCTGCTTTTCTGAACATACTGTGATATCGTCAGTGCTTGTAGACACTGACCAACTGCATGATTCATTATAAAGAGAGCAAAATTAGTCCCATTTAACTGGATTTAGTGTCAAATATTGAATAAAACTCAATGTGTTCACAGTTTTTGATAGTATTTGTAAATGTAGATGTCTAAAAAACAGAAATATCATGATGTACTGTTTATTGTGAAAATATCTTGAAGTATTGCGACATTCAATTTTTTGCTATGTTGCCCAGCTCTGCCATCAGTGTGTGTGCATTCAAAGACAACAGAGTAACACACACACACACACACACACACACACACACACACACACACACACACACACAGTCTCCTGTCAAACTGTTTATTAATGAAACGTCCTCACACACACACACAGCACTTGGAGAGAAAACAGACACTCAAATGCAGAACGAGGACTCCTCTACTCATCCTGAGAGAAAGAGAGAGAGAGAGAGAGAGAAAGAGAGAGAGAGAGAATATGTCACACAATGTCAGAAACCACATAATCAAATACATACTGTGATATAAACTAAGTCTGTGCTACAGTTTCTCATTAGGCTGAATGAATAACTGACTCTAAATGTAGGTATTGTGATATAAACTGAGTCTGTTCTACAGTTTCTCATTAGGCTGAATGAATAACTGACTCTAAATGTAGGTATTGTGATATAAACTGAGTCTGTGCTACAGTTTCTCATTAGGCTGAATGAATAACTGACTCTAAATGTAGGTATTGTGATATAAACTGAGTCTGTTCTACAGTTTCTCATTAGGCTGAATGAATAACTGACTCTAAATGTAGGTATTGTGATATAAACTGAGTCTGTTCTACAGTTTCTCATTAGGCTGAATGAATAACTGACTCTAAATGTAGGTATTGTGATATAAACTGAGTCTGTGCTACAGTTTCTCATTAGGCTGAATGAATAACTGACTCTAAATGTAGGTACTGTGATTTAAAATATCACTTTATTACCATCTTACAGTGGACAGTGTTGTGTGTATGTGTGTTACCTTCACCATGTGTCCATGCAGTAGATTTGGTGATCTGAAGTCGTGTCGGCAGTTGGAGAACGCCATGCCGAGCCCCGCCCCAGCTCCGAACGCCACCGGCCACGAGCGCCCTGAACACACACACACGGCCGGCCATGGGGTTCTTTAGTAAAAGCCTTGTTTTTCTTTACAACCATGATATGGATATAGATGATGCATAGAACCATTTCACGCTTAAACGGTTCTTTGCATGATGAAATTGTTCCTCAGATGGATGGAAAATGTGTTGTTAATGGTTCTATACGGGAGCTTTTTGAAAATGGTTCTATATAGTACTATATAGCGCTATATAGAACCATATACGTCACACTTTCCATCAATCTGAAGAGCTGTTTCATCATGCTAAGAACCATTTTAGCATGAAATGGTTCTATTTAGAATTCATGGTTCTAAATAGAACCACTGCCTTTACTACCACTATACTACTACTATATATACACTACATATCTATATCTATCTATATATCTATATCTATCTATCTATCTATATATATATATACATATATATATATATGAACACTGAATTTGGGTAATGAGTACAGTCATATGTGTGTATATCAAGAATTCAAACGTGGTTCAGCCACCAATCCGGTACTGAAGGGTCCAGTTTTACGGTTTTTGGTGCTCAGTTTTGGTACCAACAAGTCCTCGACGGTGTTCTCTGTCTTCGGTAAAATTTACAGCTGAAGCTAATGATAATTCAGCTGATCATTTACTCCTCCAAGTCAGGATAAAGTCACTGAGCACCATTACAGACCAACAAGAGCACAAAAGTATAAACTAGGTAAACAGTTGATGGGCTATTTTTACATAGTTATATAATATATGTGTGTGTAAATATGTATCATTTGCAAATGTGTGTCACACACAAATAATGTCTCAGAAATAAATCAGTATCTTATTAAAAAAGGCACAAAACACAGCTTACGTTTGAAGAACAGCAAAGAGAACAGAGCACCAACTCCAAGACCCAGTACTGAGAAAGAAAAACAAACAGAAAGAAAGAAATTGAAGGGTTTCATTCCACAACACATTAAAGGCCTATTTCAAAAAATGTTCTTTGTTTTTCATTATATTCGTTGTTGGGTGTGAACTAAACATATCAGTGCTATATTATCTGTATATATATGTCCCATGTATATTTTATACACACACACACACACGCAGAATACAGCCCATTGCTCTGCTCACATTTAACCCTGATTTTAGCCCACAAGTAGTAGTGCTGGTCAGCTCTACTACTATTTTGGGTCAATAGCTGGGAGACTCCTGATCGCATTTCAGACCAGTTAGAGTAGATCAAATATGTTTTTATTATATTTTTATGTGTAATCTAGTCAGTGACACAATCTGAATGGATTCGTCTGACAGCCAATGAGAAATGAGCACGAAAGAAGAAAATACAAGAAGTAAAAAAAAAATGGAAAAATGGTGAAAAATCACTTGCGTGTAGCAAAGTATTTTTTTGTTTTGTCTCAATTTTCTTCCCAATCTTAGTCGTATCCACGTCCACCCACTACTTAGGACCCCCCAATCAGACAATACCACCAGTGCTAGGAGGGCGACGACAAACACAGGCTTCCTCCGAGTCCTGTGAAGCTCCACTGCATCTTTTCAAACTGTTGCTAATGCAACGCCATTGGGGCTCAACACGCTCAGAGGAGAACACTAACCAGTTCTGTTACTTCAGCTAACAGATGCCTGTGCTGGCTAGCATCGCAGCATCTCTGCATTTGTTTGTCTGTGTCTCCAAGTAAGGGGAGAACGTGTGTGTTTACGAGTTCTGTAAGTTTGGTTCGGGTTCAGCTAGAACACGGGTCGCAACCCAAATGTTAAGAAGAGCCATTTTGTCCTTTCAACAAAAATCAAAACACTCTGGGAGCCACAACACTTTATGTCCATTTTATTGAAGTAAAATTTTACCATCTTGGCTGTAAATATGTCTCAGTATGTGCTGATGTTCTAGTATAGACTAAAAATATGTAATATAAATGAAAACACAGACTTACTTTGCTCTGCTTTAAGCTTTAGCTCAGCTATAGCTGCTTTTCTCGCATCTCCAGCAGGAAACTTTTCCTCAATAGTCGCTTCTCATTGACCAGCTTCTTGTACTAACTTTCCTGTTCAACCTTAAATGGTGCCTGAGGTGCCAGAATGTAACTGCTGCACCATTTAAGGTGGAACGGGACAGTTCGAATGAGAAGCTGGCGAATGAGAAACTGACTTCAGTCTCGCGACTTTTTAGTATTTCAGTTTCTCATTGCAGATTAAACATATCGGGTAACCAGCTGGGGTGCCGTTTCGTTAGATACTAGCTAGGTGAGACTGTTGTCTGTGTTGCTATGGTGACCAGCGGTCTGCGCTGATCTTCAGGGTTAAAGGGTGAATCAGCAGTTCTACATTAACTCCAGAGTTTAAGACCATTTATTGTTAAACTGTGTTGAACGATCAGCAGAGCTTTATTTTTTATTATTACCTACAAATCTGATTCTGCTGTGGAGCCACAACAGGGCAGTAAAAGAGCCGCATGTTGCAGAACCCTGATCTGGAACCTAAATGTCATTTAGTGTGTGATCCCCAATATTTCAGTCTCCCAAAATAATCTGCAGAGAGCAGACAGACAGTGAGACTGTCCGGACTTTAAAAGTGTATCTGAGGCTTGAAGTGGATTACAGTGTTTTAGAGATCAAACCTGCTCCCTCACCCTCACACACACACACACACACACACACACACACACACACACGTATGCTGAGGTGTGTGTGCTCTAACACGGTGAGGGGGCGTCCTAAAGTGACCTTTGACCTCAGAGCTGGTAAACAGCACCTGCCAGCCAGATGCATGTAGAGAGAGAGAGAGAGAGAGAGAGAGAGAGAGAGAGCAGGGAAGGAAAAAAGAAAGAGGGCACAGACTACAAAAAAAGGACAGCAGTTAGAAAAAAGCCTGAAACAAAAAGAGAGAGAGAGAGAGAGAGAGAGAGAGAGAGAGAGGGGAAGGAGAAAAAGAGAGAGGAGTAAGAGAATGAAAGAGAAAGAAAGAAAAAGAGAAAAGAGAGAGACAAAGAGAGAGAGGGAGAGGGAGAGACAGAGAGAGAGAGCGCGCGCAAGAGAGAAAGACGAGAACCTGCTCTGCTCTCTCTTGGCATTATTGGTCTAAATGACGCGCTACATCAGCGCCAACGTTAACAAACACACATAAAAGAGCCTGAAACAAAAAAGAGAGAGAGAGAGAGAGGGGAAGGAGAAAAAAGAGAGGAGTGAGAGAATGAAAAAGAAAGAAAAAGAGAAGAGGAGAAAGAGGAAGAGAGAGAGAAAGGAAGGAGAGAGAGAAGATGAGCAAGAGAATGAAAGAGAAAGAAAAAGAGAAACGAAAGAGTGAGAGAGAGAGTGAGAGAGAGGTGAGAGAGAGATGAGAACCTGCTCTGCTCTTTCTTGTGTTTTATTGGTCTGACGCTCTTCATCAGCGCCAACGTTAGCAAACACACATAAAAGAGCCGAGAGAGAAACTACTGACGTTACTGTACCATCTGATACAGTGTGTCCTTTAATCTCACGACAGACTAACCTCTCTCTCCCTCGCTCTCTCTCCCTCGCTCTCTCTTTCCCTGTCTCTCTCTCTTTCTCCCTCTAGCTGACTCTTAATGGAATCATCTGACTCTAATGTTGATCACATGGAGCACCGAGTGTACTCAAGTTAGAACCCGGTTCTTCTTAAACTGAGCGACTGACAACTTATGTTCTTAACTAGAACTAGGCTGGTCAGCTAGCTAACAGGCTAAAAGAGCCAACAGCCTCAACCCCTCCATCATTAATATCACAGGCTTGAATTAAAGCACTTACAATCTGATTAACTGCAGTATAAAAGATTAAAGAAAGTCACTTGAATGTTTTACACACTTCAAATGTTCGTGTTTCAGTCAGAAGCAGCTCCAAATCCAGGCCCAGACGGCTCCATACTGCCTATATAGTGCGCTAGGGAAGTCACACAGTGAAACAGTGCATCATGTATCGAGTGTGGATGAGTCTGAATCCAAAATGACTGTTTCTTTGCTGTATTTTGCTCTGTTGGGCTGCAGGATCCAGTATTTAAACTCCTACGTAGTGCACTATCTAGGGAGCAGGGAGCTGTTTGAGATTCAGCCCAGTGTGAGAAGAGCCGCCGCTGGACTGGTGCTAAACACGACTTGTGGAGGTAATTTGGACCAAAAAGTACTTATAAAGT